TGTGAAAAGAATCAGAGTTGAACTTACTTCTTCGTTGGACAGTGCACCTGCTTGTAGAAGAACGTCAATGGGTCAATGGGTCGACCTTCGGCACTCGAAGATAGGACACATGTGGCTCGTAGCTGCTGATGCTTGGAGTATGTCAATGACCTGCACCGGACGATTTTTTCCTTATCATCACGATCATTGTCACTTTCCTACTGGCAAAGTTTCACAAAACAAAAATTGTCACTTTTACACTTTCCAAATTCACTGCCACTTTTCATTTTACAAATCCACTGTCACATTGTAGTTTGCAATTTAAAATTTGCATACACGTTTTTATTTTAATTGGTAGTTCCGATCGGAATACCGTTCGCGGAACAATTCGACTGCCGCTATTGGATTATACGTCACTTACGCGTAAATAACGAACATATTGAAATATTCCGTGTTCGTTAAGGCACGCACCGTTCTGTTTAGCGACGCAAGGCGAAGCCAACTGATGATTCGAACACTCAAACCGTTGACAAGAGACAGTTCTCAGAATTGCCTTTTGTCGTATACACTCTGCTGGGCGCATGCTGACCGAGCCCATGGCATAAAATCGTAAAAAGGAAAGCTCTGACTCTCTTCGATTACTGTTCGAAAGACAATTTTCATCATTGACATCATGTGAAAATACGTATTATAGATAGATATGCGCATGCTCACATGACTATGCAAACAATGGGCATGCGCGAAGCTGTGCAACAGCACAGCCTTCTTTAATACCTAGTCATGCTGAGAGACTTGGCAACACTGTTAATGACGGAGTTAGGAGTCCGATTTTCGAGAGTAACAGGAATGTGCTCGGGATTATAATTAACGTTTTTTTTAATATACAGGGTGTCCCAGAACTCCTTTTACGCCCGAAAATGAGGAGGAGCTGAGGTGATTTTAAACAACTTTTTCCTTTGCGAAAAAGTTGTCCGAGGCGTGGTTATTGAGTTATTAACAGAAATCCCCGCCCAATCAGAGCGCGAGTATACAAGGCGGGCAGGAGCGCGATAACCGCCTCGTGCGTTGCCGCGCCCGTATGTCGCGCTCGTGACGAGAGCATAGGATTAAAGAAATGTTGCATGCAAAAACGAACTAACAAATTGGTTAAATATCAAAAGAAAGAAAGGGATTAGTCGTTACTTACGTTCACTGAACAAATGTAACATGCTCAATGAAATAACAAACAACTTTACAAATTACAGGATAGGTAAAATTATGAAAAATGTGAAAAGAATCAAAGTTGAACTTACTTCTTCGTTGGTCAGTGCATCTGTTCGTCGAAGAACGTCAATGG